ACACAGATTTGTTTCTCCGTCAGCTCATTGCCTCATGGCCATGATTGTCTGTTGTACCGCCGTCTTTGTTCAGGTCAGAGCCGACTCTCCCCCATGCTGGACGACACCAATGTGGCAGGAACGAAGGATGACACAGCGCCTGTGAGAACACAGAGGGGGACAAATGTCGCCCTGTGGGAACAAACAACACGTCCTACGTCCAATTCCTCTTCGTGTCAGCCGCTTACCCAAATCACACCGAATGCTTTAGTTTTCGTGGCTTGGGGGAGAGTTCACTGTTCACGACGACGTACCACATGTGTGTCAGCATCTGAACGGTGTAAAGATGGTGAAGTAACGGGAGCCACTTCCCATCTATTATCTTAACACAGACTGACCAGCTTTATGGATACAAAATCTCTCCTGATATTGATTAAGTAATACAAAGTGGAAGGTGTGTTCTTGAGATGAATGCACCGTTGATTTGGCATCATGTCCGATATTCAAGATCAGACAGCGTCCAGATGTGTAAGGTGTGAACGAGGCAGCACGAGGGAAATTCTCAACAGATGTACCTGTCGCTCTCCTCGTCTCTCCTTTAATAGTCATATGTATGTATCATCCGTTTGTACTCATGGTCCAGACCAGGGAGAGTAAGATCACTGCTTGCCTACTCATCCCTGACACAGGCAATATGTGGAAGAAGTATGAAAAGACACACACACAGTCAGCTACATACACAGTAACACACAGCATGAAGGCGGACCGTGGATATATATCACATCCGTACAAGAATCAATCACCTTTATTACCACTTACCCCCGGAGAGAGAAGGAGGAAGACAAAGTTTCAGGGGAGAGGGGAAAAAAAAGTAGGGTCACCTTTTACTCTCTCTAGTTTCAAGGCATTTCCTGAAGGTATTTTAATGCAGCTGGTGGGAGGTTTGGTTCACCGAGAGGAAGAAATGAGAGGGAGGTAAAGGCCACACAGCGACTCCGATGGAGGAAATGATAGAAAGTGAGAGCCTTCATTGTTGTGTAACGGTTCAAAAGCCGCTTTCACACATGCACTGCCACCCCGAAATCATCTAGACAATCCCCGGAGGAGCTGTATGTGCGAAGGCAAATGTCCGAATCAGTCGATTCCCCCCCCCCCCCGGTACAAAGTCTGTGTAACATCCAGTTGAGCCCATGAGTAGATAGAGCCCAGACATTGTCCGGAGAACGTGTTGATGACATTTCTATTGTGCATCTACACACGACTGGAGAGACAACGAGACGCAGGGACTTCTGTCTGTGAGGGCCAACGCTGAAACTGACAAGAGACTTGATTGTTAATTACCAAATCAGGAACCGGCGATGGGCCACGGTGCCAAGGCTCCCCCCGTCTCCAAAAACCAGATAGAAGATGTCCAGTAGGTGAGAATGCATCTGACACGGATAGTTTCCTGTTGAGTGCTGCGTGAGTGAACGGGCAATGCGGCTTCAGGTAGAGTCTTTGAATGAGCAAAAGGCATCGCAGTGGTTGAAATGAGCATCCAAATCATTGTGGGCGAATACTATTTAATCATGTTTATTAAACTCTAAGTTTTAAGTGTCATTTTGACCTGGAAATGATTTTTGAAAGGGTGTAGTTGTCAAAACAGTGTGTAATAGTGTACAACAGATTTAATGTTGAGGAGTAATTTCTCAGAAATGCAAACCAAAGACAGCACAGCCACATTTGTTTTTCACCAAAACTGCCGACAACGTGTTCAGGTCTCAGATCTCAGCTTTAAGTTGCAGAAATTAAAACCGCAACCTTGATTGTGCAAATGAACACAGAGTAGAGTACAGACAGTAATCTAAAAAAAAACAGACAGAATGGGGAAAAGCACCGAGAGAGAGACTTGAGAAATTGTCTCCATTCATTGAGTCGGTGGAATATCCCTGCGTGCTACCGCTCTGTGCTTTGTTTGGGTTCTGGAGTTAATCACTGTAATTGCAGATGGGCCGCTATTACAGCTACTCCGACTGAAGAGGCTCAGCGTGAGGCAGACCCAGAGAAAAGAAAACGCATTCACCTACTCCCAACACTCCTTCACTGCAGACACATTCTCTGTTAAAACGAGATGTGAGTGACTGTTTCCCAACCATTGTGTTTGTTCCCTAATGGGTTTTTGGTGCAAAGTAAAGGAGAGCAAGAAGGATGGAGGAGATTATAGGGCCGATTCCCACTCTAAACAATCAGGGCATTGTCAGAAAGTGACCGATTCTCGGGAACAAATCTATTTATAACACTATTTAACTTTGAGTCTGTCCTACCTGTCGACTTACCCAATACTGGAGGAGAAGAAGTAATGATATACATGTGTGTGTTTAGTAGTAACACTCCATTTACACCCCACATATGTCAGTACTATACACAGTGAGACACACTCAAATGTCATAGTTATTAAGAAATGCAAGAATGTGGTGTGGTTGGACAGATAGTGAGAATATGTCTGCCCGTGGGGCTTGTTGTGCTGCATTTTTTTCCAGCCCTACTGCTCTGACCTTTGTGACACACACACACACACACACACACACACACACACACACACACACACACACACACACACACATGTGTAGGCTGTTCACTATTCTAATGTAACTCTTGAGTCATGTATTCAGACAGAGGATGTGGTCTGGCCAAAAGGCATGCTCGCCCTGGGGAGTCATTATCACTGTCTGTTTCTGGGTTGCATTCTCTCTCTCTCTCCCTCCCTCTCTCTCTCTCTCCCTCCCTCTCTCTCTCTCAGCCTTAAAGGATACCCGAAAAAGAGAAGAAAACAACAAAAGAATATTAGATACAGAAACTATGTGGAGGATTCTCCAGGCTTCCCTTCGCACTAACCTACATTGAGTATCATAAAGACACTGGATTTTGGGATATTTAAGTCGTTTTGTCAACGAAAAAAAGTTTCTAGCAATTGCTTTTTTTTTAAAATAAGTTGACAGCTCCATTCTGAAACAAGTCACACGTTACCATGTTCACAGTCACACTGAGCATCCCTGAGCTGTCACTCTGATACCAATCTGTTTCATTATTGTTGTTGTTATGTTTGACTTGACAGTTCCTGAGATGAATAACAGATGACCGGTTTCAGTTCATTTTAGACTTGCTGTATTTTTACTCGTTAAATAAAACCGACACTTAATTTGACTCGTAAATGACGTGTTAACACATTCTGCGTAGCGGTTGTCAGTGCACGCCGGTGTTTGTAACAGTTTTGCTCGACGTCTGTTCAAATGCACAAATGATTTGTTCCTGCGAATAACAATTTACAAGAATAGATTTGACGGATGTTTTGCTTTCGCTTTGTTGTTACAAATCAACGCTAAATTTCTCAACTCAAACTTGACAAAGAAAAAAAACAGTCTTCTGTTTTTGGTATTTGTCTCTCATTTCTCTTCGATCCTTCAAGGGAATTTTAGTTTCCACATATGTCCCAAATAGCAACCTCAAGAGCTTTTAGACGTACTGTATGCAGACAGATAATAGACACACACAAACACACGTGTACAGATACACAAACAAATACACACATCAATCAGAGACTCAAGGATAATTAGCCAGATTATGAGCTGGAGTGGGATTAACTGTCAACACTTCCTGGTTGGCTGCTCATGTGGTCAGCAGGAGCCAATGAGCCCTGAGGGAATTTTCTCATCTACTGAGCTATTGAATATTAAACACACCATTTGCGTATGCAACCTTGATTTATATGGCAAAGACAGAAACGGCAAAGATTCAGGGAACAGAAAGGAAAAGAAAAAGAGGAAGTTCAGAGAATCTCACAGCTACAGCTAGAACAACTCATTTGTTGTAAAGGGATTTGTGCACACAATCGCTTACTGTCAGCGTCTGCTTCGTGTTGAATGCGTTTGGACTCCTGTCAGCTTTGGTGCAATTGTTTTAAAGTCTACTTTTGGTTTTCAGTTAGAGGCACTGTGGGTCTAGGTGGAATGCAGGATCTGCAGCTGGTTACCGAATCTCCTGTCAAGGTGTCATAACGGAGGTTCATTCGAGATGCAACTGCGCGCAAATGGTGCATCAATGTGCTTGAACCACTGGGCCAGGAAATGAGATATCTGAGAGATATGTGTGGGTCAATGAAGTGACTTTATTGCCTTAATGAAGTGTAATTATGCACACTTGTATCAGCGTAACACAATAACCTTTCTGTCTTTTGTCTGACCTTCTATCGTCAGTTTTATCTCGAGTCAAAACAGAAAGGCAACGGAAAAAAGACAGAATTAGTTTTCTATTGCAAAGGTTGTGGTTTGGTGGTTGGGCACACAAAGGCCTTATCACAAGCTTTCACTCATCTCAACGACGTCGTGTTAGTAATAATCTGAACATCCGAAGTAACCATGAAGGTACCAAGGCGGATCTGAAAGGGTCCGATCCGAACAGAAGGAACTAAGCATACCTGGTCTAGAAATGCCCAATCACCTGTAATGTAATTCATTCATTTATTTATTGAATTATGCATTTATTTTACAACCTGCTCATATGCCAATTGCACTTAAGGTATTTGATTGACTTTCATCTACAGTTTCTTGTGAAGAGCGATGGGTTTCTTGCTTCACAGGTCAGGAAACTAAAACCTGCCTTTGATGACTTTCATACGTTCCTGTGGTTGCTTTACTTTACTTCTGCTGCATCTGAAAGGGCTGTAAATAAAGCAAAACAGGGACTTGGTGTTGCTCATGAGCTGCACCTCCTACACCGAATCAGTCAGTGTCTAATTGAATTAAAGCTAATGAGTTTACAGACAGCGTTGTCTGCGTAATAGGCACAATGTCCTAATTAACACAACAACTATTTAAGAAGTCAGATCTCCAACTGCAGCCAATTAACTTTATCCTCTACAACAGACAGGGATGATCACTGAACTGTTTGTTGTCAGTGTTGAATTCATCACTTTTATGAAGATTAATCTGTGCATTTGTTGATCAGCATTGTTTTTGAAGCAGTATTCTTTGCTCTCTTTGTAGGCCCTGTGATCAGAGGAGAGAGGGAGTAAACCAACTGTGAGAGGAGAAGAAGATAAACGACGAGAAGAAAAGGCAATAACAGGAAAGTCGGTGATGAGTATCCGCACCAACAGGCCCCCTTCTCAGCTAATGAACTAGGAAGTTCATCAACAACATTTCAGTAGCAGAAACAGGACATCACCTCAGTGGGAGCGGAGCTCCACTGGGAGGAGCCAGAAAGTAAGGGGGCGGAGTGAAGCGCACGGTTGCTCGGGTCGGGCGAGATGGCGATGCCGGCAATGAAGCGGCAGGGCCTCGGGCCGCTGAGGGCCTTCCTGGTGCTGGTGGGGATTTCAGCGCTCTGTAGCGTTGCATTGGGAACCCGGAGAGGAAGCGCGTCTTTGGATGAGAGGGGCCACAAACACAGACATCCAGGTAGGACAGAAGGAACCTTTTGGCTTTAACGCACTCTCTAAACTGTAAATGCGATGCGTTCTGAAACTTGCGCAGATGATCACCACTTCTTGTCATGGCATTTGTTTTTGTTTTAAATGATCCGTCCTTTGTGACCATGAGTCGCCTCGTTCTTCAGAGTGACAATTATTGTACAGACACGTTACCATCCAAGCTGTGAAGTAAATATTTACTCAACTGAATAGAAATGTTTCTTCCCCTTTACATTAACAAAACTGGAAAAGCACCGCATTCACATTTTCTGTTCAACAAGGTCATGCCGTATTCTAAACATCTCCCAAGACGGTTTGGATCATCACGTCTTCGGTGCATCTGGAGTGTATTTGCATTTATTTACTATTTGAATCTCTCTTTGTTTTATCTTCACTTACATAGCAGAGACTTACTCAGCAATTCATTTGTTCCATCGAGGTACCCTTCAGTTACAGATGTTCACTGGGGCAGCTGCTCAGTACAACCACAGCCCGCTGCTGTTAGCCACCGAGCAGCTGCACTGCAACAAACAGAGGTTAAGTGCCTTGCTTAGAGACACCTTAACACCCACCCACATGTTCTCAGATCTGATGACCCACAACTCAAAAGTGGGCCTTCATGAGGTCACTGCTTCCTTCCCACTTTTGATTCAATCAATTGAAAATATTCGTGGTGATAACTCATTCATTAAATGTGTTGTTGACTAAAATTGGTTGACAGAAAAATACAGCATTTGTTTACAGGAATGTGTTGTTCTTGTGCTCGTAGGTCACTTGTCGCTGCATAGACACAGACAGAGGGCCGGCAAGGAGGGGCAGGTACTCCACAGGTCCAAACGAGGATGGGTCTGGAATCAGTTCTTCGTCATTGAGGAGTACACTGGGCCTGACCCAGTTCTGGTGGGCAGGGTGAGTACAATAAAGCACGAGTTGATAACGTGTTCTTGGATCAGCTTCTCTCCTCTTGAGTCAAACAGGATTAATAACTGAAAAACAATTGCTGTTAAACTTATAGCTAATCTTTCCTCCATATACAATCACAATTGGGCCACGCAGAGTCACAACAAATCACCAACTCCAGTCCGGTTTAAACGTGCTTTTCCCATTCGTCAAGGGGGAGAGAGAAAGACATTCAAGGTGAAGCTGATTGGTGGTACTCCTCCACAGCAACAGCATCACTCAAACCGAGCAGCGGCTTTCATAACAAACAACTAATGATGTTTACAATGCATCATATTTCATCGTCTAAGGGTTGTAAAGGAAGAACAACACTTTAATTGAACACTGTGTGATTCTTCAATATTTTGGGAGAGATGACAACGTTTTAAATTTCTTACTTATTAGTGTTTGCCCGTCTCACACAGCCCGTCTCAGACGTTTCGCTGCTTTAATTCGTATAGGGTGGAGAAATAGACACCTCATGTCACATCCGCCAAGCAGCCGAGCCACAATACGTCTTCCAGTCTCGTCTGGAGACCAGACTACCCGTCTCACTCTGTGATCACCAGTCCTGTCTCTCATTCTCTTCAAGTTCCACGCCATCTGAAATCCAGACGTTGTCAGCGCCACACATACTGCCTTTGCATATGTCCCCGTCTATGTTTGTCTCACACACTTCTTGTATCTCCCCCTCCTATTTCAGCTCCACTCAGACGCCGACTCAGGCGTTGGCAACATCAAGTACATCCTGTCCGGCGAAGGTGCGGGAACAATCTTTGTTATTGACGACAACACAGGCAACATCCACGCCACGAAGACCCTGGACCGCGAGGAGCAGGCCCAGTACACTTTGACAGCCCAGGCCGTGGACAGAGACACCAATAAGCCTCAGGAGCCTCCATCACAGTTCATAGTGAAAGTTCAAGACATCAACGATAATCCTCCCGAGTTTCTACACGGGCCGTACTACGCCAGGGTGCCTGAGATGTCCAATGTTGGTGAGTAGTAAGAAAAGAAAAGGTTAGGGAACAGGAGGGATGGTGCGGGGTAGACTTAGGTTTATGGTAGTTAAATATTAAATACCGTGGGCTAACGATAGTGTCGTAAAAGTCTAGCATCTTAGGAGGCATATGCATGTTAGCTAAGCATGTCGTTAGCGTACGTTGTTCTTACATCTAAATTGAGAACTCGTAGTACTTTGCTTCTTAAATGCTACATTTTAGTTTTAAGTGTATCTTAAAACATCAAATACAAACGCAATTCAGAAGAGATAATCAATATTAGAGAAAAGCTCTCCGTTGCATATTTCTTAATGAAGTCACCGCTGGAGTTCATAGTCTGTTGTTTGTCTGCTAAATAGCCTTTTACATACATTATTAAATGTCATTGAAAACCTGACCACAGGAAGTGTGACAGAGAAGTGGAAAACAGAAAGTACCATTAGCCGGCACATTCACACCCCAAAGGGCCGTTCCTTTCTTTTAACCTTTTCTTTTATTACATGGTGACAAATAATGGCCTCAACCAGGAGCAAGGCAATATTTAGCACTAGGCTGGCATGGACCATCTCCTCAGAGTCTCCTTACTTAGAGCTTCTGATCTCGATAGATTTTCCTTCCAATGATTATGTGGTCTTGGAGAGTCTTCAACCCTCGGGCTGACCTCAAATGAACCACACTGGCAGTGGCGCTGTGCTCTCTGAAAGCCAGAGAAATCCCGTCTCTGAATGGACTGGACTTCCAAAGAAAGAACTTCTGAAAGGAATGGGCTCTGTTGAGCTGAACCCTGAATACAGAAGTCTGGCAGGGAGGGGGGAGTGGAACAGAAAGAAAAGCTGTAATTTGACTAAATAGGTCCATGTTCCCTCATGGATGTCAGAACTAGAACAGATGGAGAAGGAAGTCTCATTCTTGGTGATTTACCCAGTGCACTTAAGGTAGCCGAATGAGACCAGGGTTGAGTGAAGTGAATTTTGGATGGAGCTGGATCGTGACGCTCACATAGCTGCAACTGGAGACGTCAAAACTGAAAATATGAAACTGAAAAGAAGTGTGAAGTAGTTTAACCAGAAACAACACACTGTGTTATTGGGCCCCTCGATTATTATGGCAAATATCACTATCACAATTATTGAGATTGAGTTATTTACCAAGATTACTTATTGACTTTGGAAACATCAAGCACTTAGGAAGAAAACTTTGTACATTTTAAGAATAAATTCATCCATCTGGTGTATGAGGCGAGATCTATGGAGACCTTTGGTAAACAATTTAATCACACATTGGTCGTATAGATGGGAATGGTGATGACACAGCAAAAAAGTCACACCCATAAATAAAGATGTAAACGGTCCGTGTTTCAAGACGGGTCGGGTCGTATGTGTCGCCAACATAGCCGACCAAATTGTGTCTTTGAAGGTCTTACAGCTGAGTGGTTGAAAAGGAGTCTTTGTCATTTATGTTCAGAAAGAAAATTAAAGAATGAATGAATTTACAAAATCTTAAAAAGTTGACATGCTGGTATTTTACTGCCATTAATTTGAGTGATTGTTCTCATGCTGTGGTGTTGTTTTTATTAATGATTTGTTGGTATAGAATACAATGTAAAACCTCATAATAATACACAAAAACTGCTATACATATAGTAAAACTGTAACACTCACCCTGCAGATTATAAACTGCTATTACTTCCGTTGCATATAGGAGGCAACATGTTCACATGTTCACGTGTTGCTCTAAAGCTACTGTTGATATTACTTGTCTTTATTATGTTTGGCTGAGTTAGTTTCATGAGTTGTGTCACACTTGAAATAAAGGCTTGAATATGTTAAAGTTCAGTTAAAAGAGATTTACAGGAAGTAACTTGTTGTCACCTTGTTTTGGAGATTTGTTTTCCAGATTATCCAGTGGGTTTCAAAAAGGGTTTCATAAACCCAGGGGTAGTAGAACTCCGTCACCGCATGGAGGGAATATAATGTTTCATTTAAATCATGAAAATCACCACAATTGGAGAGTGGATGCTTCCACCAGATGATGAAATTTAGAGAAATGAGAGTGAGGACCAGCCTCACGGGAGCAGTTCAGCTGCAGTGTCTGAGAGAAGGGGAGATCGGTTCCTTTTCCCTCTCCTCATCCAGGTGAATCGACACGCACCAATCGCTGAGGTAGAGTCATCTCCTGACTTGTCTGTGTGTCTGTCTGTCCCGTAGGTACGTCAGTGATGCAGGTGACAGCTACAGATGCTGATGACCCCACCTACGGCAACAGCGCCAGGCTGGTGTACAGCATCCTGCAAGGGCAGCCGTATTTCTCTGTGGAGCCTCAGACAGGTGAGGATGCCCTGCATGGTCAACAGACACCAACGCCACGAACACATGTAGCCTCATGCAACGACAGAGACTGCACACAGAAAGGGTTGCAACATGCCACCACACTGAACAGCATCCTGCAAGTAGACAACATAAAGTCAAGTGCAGCAGGACCACTAAACATCCACACTTCAGTGAATACAGGAAAGTTTATGCTCAGTTAGCCAGCATGATATAGTATGACTCGTCATGTACAGTGCAACCAGGCGGCAACCTTCAGTTCTGAAAAGTGAAGCCAATGCTGAACCTGCATTCTCTCTAGTGTCCATCAGGGGGCGACTCCTCTGGTTGTATAGAAGTCTATGAGAAAATGACTCTACTTCTCTCTTGATTTATTACCTCAGTAAACATTGTAAACATGAGTTTATGTTCTCAATCTCTAGTTTCAAGTCTTCTTCAATACAGCATGATGTTCATTTAGTACATTATGGTCCATTTAGAGTCAAACAGACCATAAAGCAGGGGATGCTTTAGGGCGGGGCTTACTGTGATTGACAGGTCTCTACCAGAGATTAAGATACTATTAAGTCAACCTTCGTAGTCCAACTATGGTCACTTCCGTTCATTGGTTACAAATGACGACTACCTTCTATGGGTGCACTTTTTTGTTGTTGTCCTTTACTGAACACCTGCTTTTTTAAAGCTGTAAATGTGTGCATTAACCTAATCTTAGTATTAGACTCATTAAAACAAAATACATTTCAGCATTTTGAAAAAATATATCAATAAATAATATTGACTCAAGCCTGGTTGTGTATCCCTTAACTGTAACGGCCCCTTGTGGAAGCGTCGTATCGCTTCTGCACCATTTACCATCTACCACTCATAAAAAGCTAAGCAGTGGCCTCTGCAGGGATCACGTAACAGCACGTCCTCTCCACTGGAGTCTGTGAGGAGGAGAAGGCTCTGCTGCAGAGAGAGGTCCCCAGAGGACATTCAGCACTGGTCTCTGCACAGCCCAGGCCCAATATTTGGGTTCCCATCAAAAGAAGAGATTGGTTGTGAGGAGAGAGGTTAGGGCCGACACGGAGCTGTGATGGGTCAGCGAGGGTGAAGAAGAATAGAACACAGAGAGAGAGAGAGAGAGGGGGGGGGGGGAGAGAGAGGGAGAGAGAGAGAGGTCAGCGTAGAGACGACGGAGAGAGGAATTGGTTTGGAGAGAGTGAGTTCATGGAAAGAGAGGAAGAGAGAGAGATTTGGGCAGAGTAAATCTGGCTAATCAAACCAGTGTTGGGTATTTGACTGGCTCAAATCCATAGCTCATTTCTAATTGGTTTGGAGATTATCAGCTTTGCATGCTGTCACACACACACACACACACACACACTTGGCATAATATGGCAGTAGAAAGCCTCAACTCCCAGACACTGCAGCGAGGCATGTCGGGAGAGAAAGAGAGAGAGAGATGGAGAGAGAACAGTCGCTGATGAATTAAACAGAAAGCAACGATCACTGGGACTGGAGATGGAGGAAAATAAGACTTCACCCATGTTCTACTAGACTTCTCCTTCATTTGAATGATGAGCAAAGATGAAATATCTTGAAATAAAATGACACCTGCTCTTAGGAAAGTAGATCACACTCTAGGTTTCTTTACTCAGATTTTTAGTTTTTTGACTTTTTGAAATATTCAAATAAAAAAAAGGTTTGAATTACATAATTTAGATTGATGTCGTAAATTAGTCGTAGTAGAGTATGTCATAATAATGTTTCAACATTGTATATTATGTCTTTATATTCATATTATTTAGAAAAGAGTCGTGAAAAAGTCCTAAAAAGTCATAGTATAGCAGTATCGAAAAAAAGTCTGAAAAATAACAAAAATAATGTCATCGGAGCATCAAGTTGATGTTAAAAATGTGCCCATTCAGGTATAATTCGTACTGCTTTGCCAAACATGGACCGCGAGGCGCGCCAGGACTATGACGTCGTCATCCAGGCCAAAGACATGGGCGGTCACATGGGCGGGCTGTCGGGGACCACCCAGGTTAAAATCACGCTCACGGACGTCAACGACAACCCGCCGAAGTTCCCACAGAGTGAGTACAAACGCCTCCTCTCCATCTGGGATGTGTAACTTGTCATTTAGGAGGTGTGGAAGTGTCACATCAGCCACATTACAGTCTGCCTGTACTTCATCCCCGCAGCTTCTTTAATCCTTTTCTGCTCTGCACATCTGTGCATGCGGGTTATGTCGGTCCACGTGTGCGTGTGTGTGTGTGTGTGTGTGTGTGTGTGTATAACCCAGAAAACATGTCGCTCGCTAGAAGCTAGGGAAGTCACTGTAGGGGGCACACAAGATAACTTAAGAAATCAATTATTAAAGGTTATTTACTGCCCCCCTGCAATGTCCTCAGGCGTGTGTGTGTGTGTGTGTGTGTGTGTGTGTGTGTGTGTGTGAGTGCGTGCGTGTGTGTTTAAATCTCTCCTTGGGACATTTGGTGAATTACTGATTTTATGAGCAATAAAAAGTAGTGAAATATTTAGCCTGGGTTTGTCAAGAGCTGCAGATTTGAGGTTTGAAGAAGAAAAAAGGACCCTGAGAACCCTGGACCTTTAAGCTTCTGCAGGTATTACTCTCAGGTGTTCTAATACGATTCATCTTCTAGTATGTTGGTTTCACCAACCTTCACAGCGGTGCTATCAAATAAACAAGTGGACATTTTCTGATTTGACTCTGAGACTGAAAGATAACATGGGGGGGAAATGTCTCCTTTTTATATCACTTTTGCTGACACCACACAATGCTAATATTTCAAAATGCAGCAAATGTAGATGGTAAATATGTCTGACATGTTCAATCAAAGATTCATTCTTTCTGGTTCACCCGACAGAAACAGAAGTATATTTTGTGGATCTATTATCAATTAATCTACTTCTGTGTCCAAAATGTTCTATCTTCTATCTATCTATCTCTATCTATTCTATCTATCTTCTTCCTGTCTTGGAGTTTCTTTCTGCCTCTCTGATATTGTTGAGCTTTTTTTTTCTTTTTTCCTCCTCTCCTGGGGCTCCGAGCAGAGCAACTCCTGGAAGAGATTCAGCAGAGTAGCTGCAAGAATGGATGGAGCGAAGGCGGGCAGGCGGGGGGGGGAGACGGGGGCTCAATATTTAGCCTGTGGAGAGGCTGAATAGGCGAGGGAAGGGAGAGACACGAGCAGACGTAGCGAGGGAGGGAAAAGACACAAGAGAGAAAGAAAGAGACCGTCAAAAGCATCACTCCGGTTCTCGTGTACTTCCCAGGAGCCGACTGTGTACCAGTGTTTTGCAACACAAAGCTAAAATCTCATTCTGCAGGTCAAACGTACAACATTTTGAGAGAGTTTGATGAGAAAGAGCTCAAATGAAGAAAAAACAACTTTGTATCTCCAGCAGAGTGTCGTCAGTATGTATGTATGTATGAGCACCAGACTCCCTTTAGAAAACCTCTCATTTCACTGCAGCGGGGTCGGACAGTCTGACCCGCTCAGTCCTGGTTCTGGTTCTGGCGTTCCTGCCTTCCCTCCAGCGGGCCCAGCAATACGGCCTGGGCCTCCAGAAGCGTAGACGTTGGGTTTTGGCTCCCAGCTGAAGCCGGCAGCGAAGCCTCCCAGTGACTTCAGGACAGCACTTCAGTCAGTATACCAATAAAGAAACGCTTATAGGACGACGTAATGACGACGTAATGACGGGTTCTCAGGCCATCCTTATGTTCCCACGTCCAAAGTATACATAAAACATTTAGAAAATAAGACAAAAAGGACAAAACGCAGGATTCACAGCCACATTATCAGTCAGAAGTGTTTACAAAGTGCCTCTTTGCATTACTTCTAAATATCAGCCGTGCATCGCTGGCAGTTTACATCTGTGATACAAGACAACACATCAAATAGCAATATGTTGTAGTTGTCGGTACCCTTGCTATGGGAAAAAAAAAGTGGAAGCAGTACAAACACCTGCAAGAAAAGCCTCCCAGATGGTGTGAATGAGGACAGTGATTACTTATTCAGTAGTTGGGCAGAGTGAGAGAGAGCGGGGAGAGGAAAAGGGAAATCAGATGAGCAAGTCAAGACTAAAAAAACAAGAGGCAGAAATAAAACAGATACAAAGAGAGAAAACACAACGAAAGAGATAAAAACAGGCAGATATGTAGCAGTTTGACTCCCTCTCATGTCTTCCATCAGCTTTTCAGTTTCCATTCAAGCTGTCATATTTTCAGTCCGAGGCTCGAGCGCTCACAGACTTTCTGTCCTTGTAATTCTCTCCCTTTCACCTCATTATCAGGAGAAAAATCCATCACAGCAATAAAAAACCAAATAACAATTTGCTCTCCAACTCTCTGATTTGGGTCTTTATTAGGCCCGACGTGACAGAGATGGCTCTTATTGAATATCGTTGTTCACGGCCGGCTGTCTCTCCGTCTTGTTCAAACATGAGCAACGCAGAACAAAGACGATAGCAGACGTCTGGAGCTGTGAGAGATCTGTCGGTTGATATCTGCAGGGTTGTATTTGCGCATATCATTTACCTCCAGTGTGTTTTAGGATTGCTTGTACAGAAGCGTCTATTCTCATCACCAAAAGACAAACAAGAGGATGGCTTAAATTCCATGAGGGATTTCTGTGTCCCTGCGGGAAATCCAACTTTAAACCTGAGGAGGAACTTTTCACATCTCCTGATCCTCCTAATCGTGAACCAGGAAGTAGAAAAGAGTGCAAAAACACACACAAGGCTGGATGGCTCCAACAAAAGCTGGTCTTTCACCCAGAAGTCAAGAAACAAGAAGTCATCGTTGGTATATTTGTCCCGTAACTTCTGCACGTAAGCAACGCCACTTCTCTAGTTATTTTAACCCAAACCACGATCTGTTCATAAACCTAGCTCAGCAGTTCTGTTGCATGAACTTAACGAAGTTGTTTCCTGTGAAGGCAGAAGTTTATTTTGAAAATAATGCATTCATGTAACGAGCAGAAATTGACATAAAAAAACAAAAAATGCATCAAAAATATGGAGTAACATTTTCGTACTCTTTTAAGGGGATGTGCTACAGTTAGCACTTCAGCCACGCTACTTTTTGGTTAAATTTGATCAGTTATCACATATTAAATCATGAGAACTTTCAGTTGGCCCTTTAAGCCTTTAGCACACGATGTTGAGTGTGCTGCATGGATACCATCATCTCATAAGTGAGGATATTGAAGCATGTAGCAACCCTTGAGTCCTGTTCAAATCCTCCATATTAGTAATGCAAACTGTTGCAACTTTCGATAAGAATTTGGTTGGTACAAATTAAACCTCTGAGCTAAATGTAAAGTGATTACAACCCACCACAGAGACACATTAGTGCTTTATACGCACGAATAAACAACTCGGGTATCAATGATTGTTTGAAAGTTACTTTAAAAATGTATAAATGAGTCGCTGTTAAGGGGACATTATTCTCCTAAACTCCACAAATGGATGTTCTTCTTCCTGAAGCTTTGTGAACCAGTCTGCCGGCCAAGTTGAAAATACTAATATAAAATGCATCTACAGTATTATCAATCTGATAACGCATAATCTCCAGTATAAATTACAAAGTAATATCAGGCATTATTGTTGGTAATCACATTAAAATGACTGACCTAGCAGATTGTAGCCATCAGTTACATTTACGAGGCTCTTTATTGGCGCTTCCATCTAAACTTTGCTGATTTAAGGAGCTTCTCCGTATGGTTCATCTGATTAGAATACGAATAAGAGCAATCAACTACACAGAGCTAATGAAAGCATCTAATGACTTCCTCAAACTCTAACTAACTGGTGAAAAATAACTTTTTCTTTACACAGAGGAAACCAGTACGGGTGATTTATGAGTTTATTATTGTTTAACTTCTCTTCCACTGTGGGGCTTGATTGTGTGTTTTCCTGTGTGAGCTGTGCCTCTTTTTATCCCTCAGCCAGGTATGCCAGGCCGCCTGTGTGTCCTGTCATACAGCGTTTAACTCAGCTGCCAGCAGCCATTGAAGTTAAGCTACTTAAGAAAAGCAAGAATGGACCGACAGGAGAAGAGAGGGAGGAAAAAGGGTGAAAGGAGGGCAGGGATGAAATGAGCTTTTAGCCAGAGGAGGAGGAGGAGGTGGAGGAGGAGGAGGGGTATACATGAGAGAAACAGGGCGGCGAGGGGGAGGAGAGGTGAGGATGAATGGAGGAATTTGGGAAAGGGTGACGTGGAAAAAGGGGAGAGGAGAGTGAGAGACGAAAAGGGAGGGAAGGATGTCGCCAAGAGAGAGTAAAACAGTGTGGAGGAGTTTAAAGACGAAGAGGAAGGATGGAGAGGAGAGGAGGGATTTGGGCTCAGGTGAATCAAGTCCCGTGAGTCTCCTCTCCTCTCCTCTCCTCTCCTCTCCTCTCATTGGAAGCCACGTGACCAAGATGAATTTGATGATTCACAGGATTGCGACACCACGAGCGAGCGGGGCAAACATGCTAATGGTGTAAAGTGATGAGTCCACTCTGAGCTCGATGTCTGAATCACAGAGCGGGAGGACACGGAGGGGAACTTAGCAGGGAGAGAACTGCATTTTACGATAAAATGAGACAGACGAGATGAAGTGGGGGAGACACGGTTTGGGGGCCAGAGTACAAGAGAGAGGGTTTAAAGGATAAAGGGGGAGAGGGAGTAGACATATGGTCCTGCTGCTCTCATTCTACAGGCCAGGTGTCTGCTCCCTCAGACACACACTCACCTGACACTATGGGGGGGTTTAATATCCTCTGGGCCACAGCAGACAGATGGCAGAGTTCATGGTAATGCCTCTCTGCCCTCCCAAACTGACCCCTGCCTCAGATAGTAAACACAGTGGCAGCCGGCCAGGAATTATTATCGAAAGACTCGAAAGAGTGTTGAGTACGAAAACAAGCTGGGATCAGACATTTCCCCCCGACCAGCCAACCGACGCTCACTACATTTTCCACCTGTTTTTTTTTGTTGTTGTTCCTCCCAGGTGTGTATCCAATGTCTGTATCCGAGGATAAAGTGCCCGGAGAGGAGGTGGGCCGTCTTAAGGCCAAGGACCCCGACCTCGGAGACAACGGGATGGTGAACTACCGCTTAATAGACGGAGACGGACTGGGCATGTTTGAACTGAGCACCGACTCCGAGACCAGAGAGGCTGTCATCAAACTGAAGAAGGTAAGGAGAGAATGAAGACTTATGGCTTAAACCTGCTAAGCTCACTGTTGTTTTGCCTCTTGGGGGGCAGCAGAAACAAGTTGCAAGTGCAACTTTAAGGTTGACAAGACAAACTTGTCAGCAAACAGTTGCTTATTTTAACATTGATAACATACGTTACCGTTCATTTGGAGTCGTGTTTCTGACTATTTGTTGAATTTAAGTCCAACATTCACTCACGTCTTAGCTCGGTTTTTCCGTCTCTACCAACTCCTGAGGGAAATATCTGTTTCAGCTGCTAAATGCTCCACTATGCCCATCACCGAGTCGCTAACTGTGTCCGTCTGCTGAGAACGATGCTATGAGAGCAGTGAGTGAACCAAAACAGCAACGCTGCCGTCAGACGGCTAAACAACGAGCTGAAACTGAGTATAAAGCTCTGTCAACCCGAGGTTCAGCAGATACAGCTGATCAGTCTCTGTACAGCTTTGTTATTATCATAACTAATACTAATAATAGACATTTTAAGGGAGGTGAAAGAAAAGCTTGGGAGGGCAGAAGAGTCAGAATGTTAGGATCCATTCATCCAGTAAATTGTACCACAAAGATCTCAATGTTAAAGAGACAACAAGAGAGCAAAGATTTCAGGATTCTGTGGTGGTTTTGGTTCTGCTGGTCAGAAGCACTACTCGCTGGAAGCGGCTGCTTCACGTCTGCGTCATCGTCCACTTTTTCAATTTGCCGGCACAGAAATGTAGTCGAGACGGCACTTTTTCGATAGACAAAGCGGCTCGGTGTGGGATTCGAACAGCCCCACGTTTGAGTCCATATTTGTGAGTTCATATAATGTGTTAAAATAATAAGGAAATACGGAGCAGCAAGAAACGTGGGTGGAAGCAAAAGGGGAGGCTTTGATGCGTTTCCTTTCCTCCTCTGATGACCCTCGTGGTTTCTTATCGTGTTTGATATGAACACTGACTCTTCCATTGCTGTGTGTGTGTGTGTGTGTATGTGTGTGTGCACGCGAGTGAGCGTGCATTAACTTTCATGCTTCCCTCGGTCAGAGATGCTCATCTTCTGCACTGTGCATACAACCCACACACCCACAAACACTTTCAGTGATCCAGCTCAGCACACACCATTACCTTTTCTTACTCTCTGTCCGTCTCTTATTCTCTGAAATACACAGAAACACTCTCTGTTACATGCACACACACACGTCACACACACACACACACACACACACACACACACACACACAGAATGTGTCGCTGCAGTGAGCTGAATCCTCCAGTGAGCTACGGTGGCCTGTTTTTAGCGTCCGACCTCTCAGTTAAAAGATAAAACATTCATAGTGGAGCTATCAGTGTGTTGTAGAAAAGCACATCAAAGTCAGTCTCCTGAAAGATTTTATTTTTACTTCTCTGATTGATATCCTAGAAATATAAAGAATACAGTTTTAGGTTTGCCAGACGCAAGAAAGGCAGGCTTAGCATCTAAATATGTAATTACAGTACGTGCATGAAAGTGCGATGACGTCGCTCAAGAGAGCAGCCGGCCTCGGTTGTACCGACGCTGTGGGAAAAACTCCGTCGGAATCAATCGATACAAGTCTGTCTCATGACTTTTTTTCTCACCGACCGTCTGCTGGAGCGTGGTATTAAGACTGCACGAGGGTTACGGGGGCTCCCTTCCCACCGGTGTCGTCAGGACCGAGCAGGGAAATGAGTGAGCGATAATGAGTAACGCTGCCTGGCATGTGTGTGTGTCCTGGAGCAAGGCGCTAACCCGTAGATCAGTAGAACAGTATAAACTGTGAGGTTGTAGTGGGCAGCGCTCAGGTGGGAATTTGTAAAACCAGATTTGAGTAAGAACTGGAATAGAGATTGCTTTTACAAGATAAAATGTAAAAAAACGCACATGGGAACACTTAAAATGTGTAGTTTTCAAAGTTGACGAAATGTACTGATGAGCAAAGCAGGACAGTCCAATCAAAGAAATGAGAGCAGCTGATTACACTCAAGTGGGGCACGGTGTGTGTGTGTGTGTGTGTGTGTGTGTGTGTGTGTGTGTGTGTGTG